GATGTGCATTCAAAACAGCCTATTCTTTTGAAAATGGTTCTTTAGTCTCCTTGCACATGTGCCTGCATGCTGACTGGCCAATTCTCTTCAAATCCATAAATTAAAATCCCACTTTTGCTTATTGTGCTTTTCACTTCAAAACGTCCACGTGGTTTGGATGTGCAGCAATGAATCCCATATATCCACAAAACTCCCATCTCCCCTCTGGGGATCACAGTTCTTCAACTGGGCTTTGTATAAGGTGACCAAAAGACCAGGTCCATGGAACATTCTCTTCACAGAATTAGAGAAATAGGGAACGACAGGAAGGAAACTTAGATACGATGCAGCCCAGCCCCTCGTTCTCAAAGAGGTTCAGAGGCACAGAATGGGGAGTCCTGGGTCACAGAATGGCAAAAAACCAGAACCAGAACCTGGTCCAATGCACTTGTAAAAACCATGTAAAGATGAAATTAGAATTGGGGCCCCTTCTTTTTTGATCAACACTCTAAATCTTATTTATTTTTTCTTTTTTTAACATTTATTTATTTTTGAGAGACAGAGACAGAAGATGAGTGGGGGAGGAGCAGATAGAGAGGGAGGCACAGAATCCGAAGCAGGCTCCAGGGTCCAAGCTGTCAGCACAGAGCCCAACACGGGGCTCCAACCCACGAACCTGCAAGATCATGACCTGAGCGGAAGTCGGGTGCTTAATTGACTGAGCCACCCAGAAGCCAGAACACTCTAAATCTTAAGCCTTTAAAGAAAGGAGTAAATTTGTCTGGAATATCAATGGTGACTGCCTCACTTCTTTGCTTCTCAGCTCTTGAAGGGATTTGGCCTAACGGAAATTTAATCAGCTGGTCACTGTGCCCCTTGTTTTCTTGTGAGTCCTTGGGTGAGTCACATAACCTTACTCAACTATAACAGAAGGATAACGATACTACTTAATTCATAAGGCTATTATAAGAGAGGGCCGAGCAGATATTTTAAAGTGCATTAAAATGTCAAGGCTTACAAGAAATGGAGAAAATTTCCATTTCACACCTTATTTCTCTTGGGGGGAATCACACACACACACACACACACACACAATTCTCTTCACTAAAGTTACGTGCAAAACCGGCATTTGTAACCAAGGAGTTTGGGGAACGTCCTGCACGTAGTGATGGTTTTACCTTCAGTGGGACTTTTATTTACACACAGTGCGCAAACAATGAACTTTTTAAATGTCATCAGTCTTCATTTTTATTCCCCCAGAGTTAAGGATGACCTGATCACTGTTGTCTGGCTTTCCAGTTCTGTTAAATTTTTCTCTCAATCAGATCCTCGTTCGACCCACATCTTAGCTCCCCACTCGAATCACTCCTCTCTTTGGATTCCTCTTCCAAAGCCTGGAGAGGAAGGGCCCCAGTGAGTAACACATTGGGGGGCGGGCAGAGTGTGTCGGAAGTGATCAAATACTTGCAAATGAAGCCGTACAGCCCACGGGAGGAGGCAATGGCCACAGGTGCCAAATGCAGATGACGATAGCAAGCTCCGGATAGGGCTGTCGCCACAGTGTGGGCTGATACTTCACGCGTAACAACCTTGGGAGCATGGAAATGACTCATCACACGACTTAACCACACGACCTGTGTAGGTGCTCAAAGTAGAGGCACCAAACCTATGATTTATGTGTGGGTGGGCATGTCTGTCTTCCCTTTAAAATACTAAATTAGCCTAGGGGGAAAAAAGTAGATGGATTGACAACACTCCTCTGAGTACTAGAGAAACACATGATGTAGAAAATGGGGATACAAGTGTGAACGCAAATCTGCCTGCATGGAAATGACTGGCATTTCAACATACGTTCTCTCCAAGCAAGACCAAAATGGGGACGGGAGATTCTCCTGCTCTGGGAGATCAAACCAGTGAGATTTCAATAACCCACCCCAAATGGGACGATGGTACGATGAAGAGGCTTTGAAATATTTCGCCCTTTATAGATACGCGTCCCTGTTTTCATTACACTATTGTCTTTGGAATTTTGAGAGAACAGTGCTAATGGCGGAGTTTCCGCAGCTAAGTGTTTAGTTAGCGTCAACTAGAGTAAGCACGGAATAAGTGAAATGAGACCAGAGGCTCACCAGCCACATGTCTCTCCCAACGCCCATTAGAGGTTACGAGTGTGCAGAGGCCACAGCTAACGTGAATCGCCCAGATAATGACCGATACAGAGGCCAACTCACAACGAGCATGAAGGTATTTAACAGTACAAGTGTATGGGGTTAATAGATAGTATTTGTCTCTGTTGCATTGTTGGGCAGGTGCGGGGAGGGACTTTTACTGGAAACACTGGACTCTGCGTGTGAGTAGGAATGCCTCCAGTGAGACAGGAGTCGACCGGGCCGAGAACCCAGCCAAGAAGAAAGGACAGCTAGCTTAAGTCTAGTTACAAATCTAGGGCAATTACTTCTGCACCTTTATGCTCTGCCCTGTGAACGTTTCTGCACGCCATTCGGTATAAATTAGCAATATTATAATTACTAATTTAACTAGGTGGTGAATGTTGATTACACCACCGGGACCACGAGCTCCCTGAGAGCAAGGACACATGCGTCTTGTCCTTTCCTATGTCCTCAGTGCCCAGCAAGGTGCCGGGTGCCCAGGAAATGCCTCTCACATGTTACTTCAACGAACAAGTGAATTCCTACGAACTCATACTGTCACATGGGGTCACCACGTCTGCCCCGTGTGCCTTGAACGGAGCTGAGTGTACTGCTCACACCCAGCACAGCAAGCAGAAGCCACAAGGGGTCAACCTTCTTGGCAGACCCAAGGGCTGGGCCGTACAAGATCCAGCATAACCCCACCGCACTAGGGACCCCCAGGGTGTGGTCCGGATGCTCCGGCAGCTTCGTCGAGCCCCTCAGATCACCGCTGATCTTTCCAGGGCTTCGGTGCTCTCATTTAAGACTTGATGAATGACCTTTCTTTTCCCTGGAAGTTCTGAAATTCTAACATTTGCAGAAAATGTCCGGAACCTGAAATCTTGCCGGAAACAAACCATGGTAAGGCCTCCTGCTTACGAGGTAGAGAAGAATTAAGTTTTAAAATATGAAGTTCAGTTCCATTCCAGTGAAACATTACATGGGCATGTGGAGGGTGCTTCTTGCCCGATCTGGGCCAATAATATCTCTCTTTCGTCCCTTCTTACCCCCCAGAAGTCAGGTTCTCCAGGCCTCCAAGGGCAACACATAACTATTCCGAACCAGGGCTGGCCTTTTGCTTCCATCTGTAGCTATCACAGGGAGTCAGTCTGATAAACATTTGCAGTTAGAATGGAAGGAGGCATGGCCTCCCAGACTTTCACAGATTTTTTTGGACAACTAGCAGAGTCACAGAAAGCCTAGAATTAGGTAAGAAAGCGAAATTCCCCCAGGGAATTCAACCGAGAGCCTTGAAGCGATCTCCGTGTGAGAAAAGAAAGGGAACCCACAGTTCAAGAAAATAAGCAGACATTTTTTTCCTTAAAAAATTTTTTAAAGATGAGTAGTAGGCACTGATTTTAGCCTTCTCTTCCCTTCTCTCAGGATGTCACTTTCAAAAGCAAAAGGTTTTATCCACAAAACCGCCAGTGAGTAAACAGCGTTCACATTCTTACCCTCACACACACAGTAAGGTATTTACTCTCTGATAAACAGCAATTGTAAATAAATCTCATTTAATCTCTAAAAGCCACAATAAAAATCCTGAACCTCTGAAGCAGAGTTTACAGATGTGTCTGGAAGCCCTTCCAGCCCCGAACACACAAGGTCTTGAAGAAACTACTCTAACAGGAGGCACATTTTCTCTCTCAAGCATCTTACATTGACCTTCTTTTTACAAAAATATGTACAAGGGGGGAGGAAAGGGGAAAACCCAACCCCTCCCACCCCATTCTCTGTACAAATCGGCCAATAAATCTAACGGAAAAGACACAAGAGAAAAGGACAGAAGCCAACAGGTGGAAAAAGGCTTTTTGTTTCCTTAGAAATGCTCAGACACTTGATCTGTGTTCCCTGGTTTTTTGTCTCAGGGTGTCTTTAATGATGGTTTGATGAGGAGGAGGAGGAGGAGGAGGAGGAGGAGGAGGAGAACACTTCTACTTGGTGATTCTGCAGGATTGCTAGCTTGTAGATTCCTCCGTGCCTTTTAGACACAAGGATCTGTTCTGTTTCGCCAAATCCCAGGCAGACATGCGGCATCCCCACTCAGCTCTCTGGATTGCACTGGGGGTAAACTGAGGCACGCCCCCCACCCAGCCGCCCCCCACCCCCCACACAACTCCGCCGTTACAGCATCTACCACCAGAGAAATGCCTGAGACTGGAAAAGTTTCTGGATCGTCTTACAGCAGAGTTCTGCTCTGCCTTCTCGCCTGCCTGCCTGGCTGGGGGGGCGATAGGGGGGGTGCTAAGGACCGGGGTACCTCCCCTGCACGAGGCGCGCCAGGGCGGTGTGGGGGTAGTCCACACACGCACACGCGTGCACACGCAGACCCACGGGCACACTCGCGCACACACAAAGCTCGAAGCGATCTCCGCGGGCGCCCGGCCGGCCCAGCGCAGCCCTGGGAACGCACAGCTCCCAGCCCTGCAAGGCCTCCTTGGGCTCCAGGCTGGGGCTGCCCTGCCCCAGGGCTCTGCCCTTCCCTCCCTCTCTTCCAGCCTCCTCTCCTCTCCTCTCCTCTCCTCTCCTCTCCTCTCCTCTCCTCTCCTCTCCTCTCTCTCTTTCCCCCTCACACCTCCACCCTCACACCCTCCTCCCGCCCGTCTCCATCCACCCCTTCTCCCCCACCAACCCAGAGGCGCAGATCGCGTTACTGGGGTTCCCTCGAAAGAGGGGCCAACCCCCGCCCTGCAACATTTGCAGGGGCGAGGCCAGAGCTCCCGGGGCAGGACCCCAGCGCGCCTCCTGAGCAGCGCAGGGACGAGCCCCCCACTTCCAGGCGCGGGCGAGCGAGCCTGCCACCGAAGAAGGAATTGTTAGGGCTCTTACCTTTTTTACGAGGAGAAATTCTGGAGAATCATTTCAGAAACTGAGGGGGGAAAGTGAACGAAGACAAAAAGGACCCTTTGCCTGCAATCCCTGGCCTCCCGGTATCTAGACACTAGGACAACATCAAAGCAACTTAGGGGGAACACTTTAGGGGCCTATTGTCTGCTCTGGTCTGATCTGTTTTTCTTCTGACTCCCCCTCTCGCCGCCGTGACACTTGGTACGGCCCAGGCATTCATGCCAAGTAGCTTTCACACACCGAGGCTTGTCTCAAGCAATTGCTGACAAGCCACAAACAAGACATTCTCCCTCCCTTCTGGGCGCCCCCCCCCACTCCTCCCCCTCCACCTTTCCCTCCTCCCCCCTTGTCTCCCCTCCTCCTTTCTTCTGAATGCAAACTAAAACTCTCCAGTGACAGGCAGGCTCGCAGGCTAGGCCTAGCTGCTCAGACACACACACACTCTCTCTCTCTCTCTCTCTCTCTCTCTCTCTCTCTCTCTCTCGCAAGCAGCTCAGCTAGTTGCTGCGCTGGTGGAGTTGAGAGACAGGAAAAAGCCTCGGCTGAGTTGGGGGCAGGGAGAGAAAGAGAGAGGGAGCGGGAGAGCCGGAGAGCCTCCTGTGTCCTGGTAAAATGGCAGAAGAGAGGTGAGCCCTTTAGAAGAGCAGCGGTGGCCGCACACGTGTGCCCACAGCCGCCCCCCCACCCGGGGGGGGGGGCAGCCCGAGCTCCAGGAAGAGGGAAATAAATGTCTCCACAAACAAAACATCAAGGTCCCATCAGCTCAAGACGGGGGGGGGGGGGGGGGGGGGGGGGGCGGAGTGGGGACAGGAGGGCGTGGGTGGACCCAGCTCTGGGGCCTCTGTCGCATGTGTAGGTGCCTTTCTTCTCTATGGTGGACAAAAATCGGTGCCCCGAGGGGCTGGGCTTTCTTCGCTGTATAACTAAGCACAGACCTGAGCTACCAGTTAAAATAAAACCACGAAATGTGTCAATGTGCGAGTAAACTTTAACTGTGGGTTCAACTTGTACCCAGGATATTTTTAAAGTGGATTTTTTTTTTCTTGCAGAAACCCTAGAGACCAGTAGCCAGGAGAGTAGTAACAAGTAGTGTAAACTCTGAGAGCTGTGAAGTGTGATGCTAAAGTTACTGATTGCCAGGCGGCTGGAATGTATGGAGGGTGGGCGCTGCGAGTTGCAGGGGGGGAGGGGGTGTCTCAGGGAGCTGTTTTCGAGGAATGAGGGGGGGGATGAGGTAGGATCATGAATATAGCATGAAGCAAGCAGGAATTTGATTGGTGAGGAGGGAGGAGGGAGGTGGGGGTGTAAAGGAGAGAAGAGAAGGGGAGAGAGAGAGAGACTGCATTTAAAAAAGAAGAAGAAAAATGGAAGCCCAGAGACTGAAACATGTGGGGGAAATGAGATGGCAAAGGAAGGCATAAAATGTGAGCAAGAAGGAGCACAAAGGATGTGCAAATTTGCAGATGGTATGAAATCAGGAGAGCCAATTGAGATCAAGAAGAACGACAGGACAATTATGTGACATTCATATGTTTAGTGGTCTCCTCCTAGGCCAGGAAGGGACCCCCTCAGCACGCGGGGTCTGAAGGGAACCTTAGCTCCTCACTGGAGCTCAATGAGAACTGTATTCTTACAAGAAGATGGCTTATACTCTAAGTCTCAGTTTTTCTTCTACAAAATGCAAATTAGAGGAACACACATCACTCACTCCTTCGTAGGGGTGCAACAAAGAGTAAATTATGACTTTTTATACCTAATGCCAATTACATGGCTTGTCACTACCTAAAACTCACCATGTCAAAGCCACCTCCTCGTTCCTTGTTACTTTACCCCTTAGTTTGCTTCTCCATTACGGCTGACTGCTAGAATTGTCTGTCCCAACTCTCATTCACGGTGATCATGAGAATAACAACTACTTTATTTTATTATTATTATTTTTTAAGTAGCCTCCATGCCCAGTCTGGAGCCCAGTGCGGGGCTTGAACTCACAACTCTGAGATCAAGACCTGAGCTGAGATCAAGAGTTAGATGCCTAACTGACTGAGCCACCCAGGCGCCCCAGAATAATAACTCCTCTTGATCAAGTATGTATTTAATTGTGAGCATGTGCCCAAGCATTTATACTATGAAAGCATTTCTATCAAGACCATCTCCATTTACAGATGATTAAAAAAATGAGGCACAGAGAGGTTAAATAACTTCCCTGAGGTCACACAGCAAGGTAGGAGTGGAGCTGAAATCAGACCCCAAAATCAGGTCTGTGTGATTTCAAAGCCCCAGCACTTACCCACTACTTTCTGCCCTCTGCCCTGCGTAGTCCGGGTTCTTCATAACATCCCCCACTCAGCTGTACAAATGCATTGTCTCCTTCTGCACCAAAGGACTGGGCTTGGGTCCTCTCACTCTGAGCCAAGGGACCCTCTGGCCTCCCCTTAACTGGCTACTGACTCACCATCCACTTCTAAGCTGTGATGACTCACTATATACAATGGGGCCTTCTAGGCAAAAATTGCATAAGGGGTCAACTTAACCTTTAATGACTACACGGTTTACAGATTGCCCAACAATGGAGAAAGGCAGCCCAGGCCAGGAAGGCCTCCCTTCCTTAAAAATATAATAAAAGCAAACTAAAAACTCCCACAAAGTGTTGATGAGAACGATGCTGATGACAGCTGCTAACATTTATTAAGCTCCGCCATCTATGCAACGACCCCATGAGGTATAAACTGCTATTGCTCCCATTTTCTGGATGAAGGAGCTGAGACACGATGATTCAGTAAGGTGCCAAGCTCGGCCAGGCAGGAAGTGCTGGCTGAGATGGGGCCCCAGGCAGCCCTCCTCTCCAGAGGCCGCGCTCTCCACCACTGCGCACTGGGTGGTAGTGAAGAGCCTGCAAGACCCTTCCAGTTCCTCGGGTGACCATCTAAATGCTCAACGAGAGAGGAGAGAGGCAGTGACAGTGCTAATGTATTTACGGGACATCTCCAAGAGGGGCTAACAGAGAAGAAAGCCTATGCCAGGGCCCCCACACTGCCCTAGTTTTCTAATTCCCCCACAGTCCCATCCGGCAGAGGACCGGGACTCCCCAGCGTCCGGGGCAGAGCATGTTGGTGGGAACACCAGGTCGGACTATCTTGCCTCCGGCACCAATGGCTTCCACCTGCCAATTCCAAAGAGCCAAGAAAAGAAAATCCAAATAGGTAAGTAAGCAAAGTCCCTACATGAGTTTTCTCTCTTTTATGAGACTTAAAAATGCTAAGAATGGAGTCGGGTAGAAAATCCCCTGGATTCTTGGCTGCAAGATCTGATTCTAGTGCCATTCTACCACTCATGGAGATGTGAACCTGGCTCACATCTCTGTCCGAGCTTGGCTTCGTCAGTTATAAAATGAACTGACGCCATCAGCCCCAGCACCATCTCCAGCACTAAAACGCTATCATTCTGGTAAGTGTCCTTGGTCAAAGCCAAGGTAGCTGATGAGATGTGTGCTTGAGGGGGTGCCTGGGTGGCTTAGTCGGTTAAGCGTCCGACTTTCGCTTAGGTCATGATCTCGCGGTTCGTGGGTTTGAGCCCCGCGTCGGGCTCTGTGCTGACTGCCAGCTAAGGGCCTGGAGCCTGTTTCTCAATCTGTGATTCCCTCTCTCTCTGACCCTCCCCTGCTCACGCTGTCTCTCTCTCTCTCTCTCTCTCTCTCTCTCTCTGTCTCTCCTAGAAATAAATAAAACATTAAAAAAAAGAGAGAGATGTGTGTTTGGGTACGTGTGTACATATGAGTGCCGGAGAGGGTCATGGCATAAAAGGATAGAGCAAGGAAGACTCTCTTTGGGCCGGTCTACCCAAATTATGGCACATCTCCCCCAAAACACCTGCCACCCAATCGCTATTTTTCACCGTATTTTGTTTCACTGCTAGCATTTCCAACAATTGCACATGCCCGTGTGATATTAACAATCTTTAAAAAAAAAAACAGTTCTAGAAGGAATAAGGAAAGTCAGCCACTCGTATGTTAATATGAATTATTTCATTAGGCTACTTTCCTCCAAACACCTAATTTGTATCAAATGGCCAGTTAGCTTAGAGAGTGAAGTGGAAAGACTAGGGTAAGGCCCTGATTTGGGGCTTGTTCAGAGCAAGAGAAGATAAGGGGCCCCAGGAGATGGTGGCATTAACTATGAGAAGGTGAGGACACCAAAAAAAAAGGCAAATAGTTTCAAAATTGTATCTGGGGCAAGTCTGGAATTAAAGGAAGAAGGAGTGGAGTGCCTGGCTGGCTCAGTCAGTAGTGCCTGCAGCTCTTCATCTCAGGGTTGTGAGTTCGAGTTGAGTGTAGAGATGACTTAAAAATAAAATCTTTGGGGCACCTGGGTGGCTCAGTTGGCTAAGCATCAGACTTTGGCTCAGGTCATGATCTCACGGTTTGTGGGTTCGAGCCCTGCATTGGGCTCTGTGCTGACAGCTCAGAACCTGAAGCCTGTTCAGATTCTTTGTCTCTCCCTCTCTCTGCCCCTCCGCTGCTTGTGCTCTGTCTCTCTCTGTCTCTCAGTAATAAATAAAAAAGTTAAAAATTAAAAAAAATAAAATGGCTTCATCTTCCTCACTCCCCTTTTCCTGCATCTGACACATGCTTACACCAGGTCCCTGCGGGGTCCCTATGGGGCTTATGTTCCATTTAAAACATGGTTTTTATGAGGGGAAAATGCTCAGCTTTCCAAACACCCAACTTACAAATTAATGTTAAAAAAAACCCAGCCCATTCACAATGTGATATCTATCTACCTGTGTGTGTTTCACTGTGGGAAAAAATGTGGGAGTCAGACAAAAGAGGTTTCTCTCTCCTCCGCATTTCTGGAAGGCGAACTGTCTGACATAAGGGAGAGAGTCGAGCAGCAAATCAAGAACCAAGTTTCACAATTTAGCAAGATAAATCAGCAACGTAGAGGCAAGCAAGAGGAGAACTCACCTGATCTGAAAATAGCCACTTCTCCTAATAATAAATTAAATAAATTACATTACATAAAAATATAGCTATTTCCTCCAGGATTAAAAGACTAGGTGAAGTTACTGGGTTC